AAATCAGAAACAATTCTTCCAAAAATGCTCTCCTTAATCTTCACATCACCAGGGGACTGATTGTCTTTGCAGCAGCCCCATTTGCTAGATAATAAAATAACAAGATCTCACTGATTCCTGTAGGTTTCTCTCTAGTTGATATAAACGTGTCTATCCAGGGGTGCTCAGGATGGCTTAAATGTCTCAGTCAACATTACAAAGCAAGGGCATATAATGTAAGGGACATAAGCTCGCTGCACAGTTTGAGCTCCTTGTAGCTTCATCCCCTGTTTGTTTGTTTCTTTGGTTTGGTTTGAGAGGCTCACACTGTCCGGATCCAGCCCTGATCCCTGTGAGTCTTCATAGAGGAGCAATTCACAGCCTCGTGTGAATTCATGACCTTCATTTATCAAAACTATATTAAAAGTAATAGAATATGAAGGAAAAGAAGAGTCCTATATCTGACAGGTACTTTTATTCAAGAATAGTGGCAAAGCCTGCATATGCCTCGCGGCTCACGCCAGTACTCCTTTTTCTCTAGCGGTTGTATGCACATACTAATTTCCCTGTCCTCTCTAGATTTCCAGTACATTAATTACATGTTATTGCTGCTACTACCACTGCTATTACTAAGCTATGCAAAGGGGAGACCTTCAGTCATTTGTTGGATTCCTGCAGTCAGTAGGTATAATGAGTTGCTTACCACTCTTACCAGCTAGGACTATGGGTAAGAGGTATTGTGCAGAACAAAGGAAATAATTTAGAAAAAAGTCGAAGGTGGGTAGAACAGAAAGAGGAAAAGGAAATAATTTGGTCTTATGGAGAAAGTTCTAAACATCATGTTATGTGTTCAGTTCTGCAGTGGGATTAGCAAATACACCTGCACGGAGTAGAATCAAAATTCTCTGTTCTCTCAGATGGATGGACAGACAGACTCAGTGAGCTAAAGTGTCCCGGAGCCATGCTTTGTTAAGTTCTACACTGTGACATGGGGATGATGTCTCACCACAGTTTCACAGACTGAAAGCTGTGTGTCACAATGTGGGACCTTGGCTAGATTGCTGATCAGAATATAGGGAATATGCGTTAATAATCACAACCTAGTGACACCATATTGGCAAAATTGGATCCCAGCTCAGTAAGATACGTCCTCACTGCAAACAGTTCATTACAGTAAGAGAAATCCATGGGTGCCACCCATCTGTGCAATAATGCTAACAGCAATACTAACAATACCACCACCACTACTGCTAATCTACCTGAAATCAAGAAAGGATGGAGAAATCAGGTTAAGAATAGGCTTCTCTGGGTGCTGACAGGGAACAGGGGTCAAGGATTGCTTATGCTGTGCTCAGCCTCTGCCGCCGCTGCACACATCAGATACGCATCAGCAAATGTTACAAGGAAAGTTGCTGCAACAGCACCTGAGGCAATACAGATAGAAGATGTGTTTATACCAAATGTGGGATACTTGATTGCTTAAGCAATAAACCACATAAGTATTTCTGAAACACAGGAAACAAAATTGCTCTCACTTTCTATACTCCTGTCTGACATTCAGTGAGGCAAAATAATGAGTATGTTTTCACTTTGTACTCTACAACTCAGTGCTTAAAGCATGAAGATGCATTTTCAGTAGAATCAGCACAGAAAGAACAGAGAACACATCGTTACTGTTCCCTTTTCTTTTCACTGCTGAGTTATGTATATAGTTTTCCAAATGATCATGTGCAAGGTATGCACAGCAGGTTCAGGTCAGTGCATATGCTGAGCCGGGGAGAAAGGTGTCGTGCCACAGGAGTACGAAGTGTTTGAAAACTGAAAAAGTGGACGGAAATCTCTCTTACCCATTTTGAAAAGCCCTGTTTGGAAGCATAAGTATGGCACTGGACACAGCTAAATGTGTGGGAAGATGCCCAAACAGCACAGATCAGGTTGAAGAGTCCTCAAGAGAAAGGAAAGCCTGATGGTCTGATGACTTGTTGCTGTTGTCGCCTAACGGAGGAGTGTGAGGAAAGAGAGAATATGCCAACATACTCCTAGAGTGATTGGGGTATAATTTTCTTATGTGATATGGGACACATTTTCTGATGTAATAAAGAAATTAAAAGCTGTACATAGGGTATAAAAGGGTATAAAAACTGATTAGCCTCAGCTTTGAAAAGATACAGTAGCGCTGGAGAAGGCTATGGAACAGATTTGGTTTCACCAGGTACAGCCAGGCTTATTGTCCTCTAGTGGATTTCCCACCCTATAAAAGTTTTTGACACTACAAGACTGGGGAGATTTTACTTTGGAAAGAAACTAGAGCCTATCTTCATTTTTTTCCCTTCCTCCCAGAAAATATGTGTTTGATCATTCTAGACTAGCCATCTGCCCAGAACTGAGGAAACTCAAATGTGATATGAAAGACTCTAACTCATGACTTGAAGAATGTATTTGGCTCTTAAAGTTAGCATGCACAACCATGCCTCAAGCTATTACCTAATCATGGAGTCCAGAACCTAAAAGGACCACTGAGAGATCGCTGTACAAGTCCAGCCAGAGGAATTTTCTGACTTAAATCCTGTTTAACATAGAAAATACTTTCAAGAAAAATATCTACTCTCAGTGTAACATGTACCAATAACAAGGAATACATCACAGCACATAAACTGTCCCATATTATCTTTGCATTAAAATATGATGACCATTCTCAAAAAGCCTTCCCAACCCAATCTTTTCTGAATTAAAACTTTCCTGGAAATGGACATTTTCTTGTAATGGCATGTGTGGTGAAGGTGATTCCAGTCATCTCTGGTCCAGTCATCCCCTTTTTCCTACCACAGTTGCTGCTACTACTTCTGCAGCTAAATCTCTGCCATTCAGTATTCTCTCTCCATTTGCATTATGCTATCGACTCACAGTTTATCCATTTCCTTGGTGGAGTGCAGCAAAGTGGCACAAATGCTTCTTTAGTCAACTCCTCTCTTTTGCACTTGCAGCTTCTTGGTGAAGGGGTAAGAGGAATACAGATTTTACCCAGGCAGATTTCAGGTGGAGGATGCCTTTTAGCAGATCAAAAGCCACCCAGAAGGATCTCTCATTGTGTCCTTAAAACAGCTGGTCTGGCTTTTCAGGATTTGTCTGTTGTTTGGCAACCACACATTTGTAACCTGTAGTACTTGTGGGGGAACATTGTTCTGTGCTCTGTTCTCATAATGTGACCAAGTGAGTCACTGAGGCTGACCCAGTGCTGACAGAAATGAATGCTGTGTTCAGTTTGCAAATATCTGCGCTCTCCTCCCTGCCACATGGAGCAGGTGAAGACGACAACGGTGCTGAAAACATCCATCACTTTTCAGAATTCTACTTTTAAAATGCTGCATCTGGGAAAGAAAAAAATGGTGAAACAAGCTGAAAGAGCTTCTTGCTCCATGAAGTAGACATTCCACATAGAATTAGTTCATGACTTTTGTGTGCATGCACAGAAGAAGCCAAGAGAAACCCTGCTTAATTACACTTCTTTCTGTGTGCTCCCTGTGAGAGCATCTGGGGATGATCTCATATAACCTAGATGGATGTGTCCGTCTCAGTGGGGAACCGCACCTGGAA